CCTATTTAATTATTTGTATTAAATAGGGGAACTTGTCGGCAAATAAAACGTTTCGCAGACCCAAACGGATGTCATATCTTTCTTAGTTTATTTGATCGAGTCTCACCCTCAAATCTTGTGTTTATCCCTCGGGATAGATACAAGATTTGAGGTTGAGTGCTCTTTCAATTAAACTGTGAAAAATATGAGGTCAGTTTGATTTCATATTTTTCTAAAATTATATATATATACGTAAATTAAAAAGTCCTTCCGAAGCGGGCGACGGGATTTTGATTCCGGCTGCCGACAACTTCTTACGGGCGACCCTCCTAAACAACCTTTCTCTTTTTTTTTTTTTGTGTCGACATCTATATATACTATTGAGAGTTATAATTTTGTCTCTATGATTGGATTTAACAAATAGTGTATTATCAGCTTGGCACTCCTTTTGTAATCATAGTTTTAGCAAATTTGTCAAACCAAGTATGAGGAGATTGCTTCAAATTATATAAGAAATTATTCAGCTTCCAAACTAACTAGTTGTTCGACCTATTTTTCAGGCCCGAAGGTATAGTCATGTAGACTCTTCATCAGGGTCCCCATTCAAGAAATTATTTTTGACATCCAGTTGGTATATAAAGATAAATATTAATTTATTGTAAGAGAGAGTAGAACTCAAATATATTGAGCTTCGCAATAGACTCAAAGGTTTCCTATTAGTCTATTCCATGTGAGATTCCATGTGACTGTGTGAAGTTCTTGGCTGCCAATCTAGCTTTGGATCTCTCTATACTTTCATCTCCTTTATATTTAATTATAAATATTTCATTTGTGGCATGCATGTTTTTTTTCATGAGGCAACTGTATAAGTGTTAATGTGTTATTATTTTATAGAGTCAAAATTTCTTCCTCAGTTCTTTGTTTCTATGTTGGAACTTTTAGCGCCTCTTGAATAGAGTTAGAAACTTACACACTATCAAGTTTTGTCATAAAATCTTGATAAGATGGTAAATTTTTTTCATAAGATTCATATTAATTGATTGGATAATCAGTGCACCTTTAGACATAAGATAAGGAACTCATACCATTATTATTACCAGGTGCAAGGCGATTTGTTTCAGGTTCTTGATAGTTCCTAATCTGCATGGTGTCATCTACATGCTCAATGGTCTTTTTTTTGTGATATAGACACAAAATTTATAATCATTAATGTTAAGTTGAGGTGCAATAGGACATATGTGACAGTTTCAATGACGGAGTTTAGTTGTTCAAGTGGAGTTGGTTGAGGGATAGGATTTGGTTTAGTTGTTTAATTGGTGGTTTGATTGTGATTCAATTTGAATTCTTAGAGAAAATCCCAAATTTGATATTCCATCGAGTTTTCTCCTTGAATTTTAGATATGAGACTTTAAGATTAATTCTTAAAGAGTATGACATTTATAGTGTTGTATATTTTTCCTAGTGATTGAAGATAGGGTTGTAAACTAGTCGAGTCAAGCTCGATCTACCTTTGGCTTGAGCGTGAGCTTGATTAATTAAATCGAGTTCTAGCTTAATTCTACGAGTTCGAGCCGGCTCACGATCCGACTTGTTTAGCATGAAAGTGAGAAAAATATATTAATTTAAACTAATGATATAATTAAATGATAAATATGATGAGCATTTAGGAGATAATAAACAAGAAATCACTTGATATAAAATGTAAAATATCAAATTTTAAACATTTTTAATAAATTAAAGGGATGTTTTTGAATTTTAATATATTTTAAGTATAATTTATATTGATTATTTTTTAAACGAATCGAATCACGAGCTAACAAGTCAAGTCAGGGTTGGGTAGAGCTTAGCTTGTTAGCTCATCGAGCACAGTTCACGAGTCACTTATCAAATCGAACCTGAGTCGATTCACATGTCGGCTTGACTCACTTTCACCCCTAATTGGAGAGTAGCATTTGTGTCTTTTTTGGTTGGAGGAGTAACCAAGGAAAGCATGTTTGAGAAATTTGGAATCAAGTTTGGTGCAGTGTTGTTGGTGGATGTGAACAAATGTGGCATAACTACAGATTTTCAACGATAAGTAAGAGAAAAAGAGTGAATATGCGGACAAGATTCAATGAGAACATTACAAGATATATAAAATTTTAAGTATCTATTTGTCATTTTTTGATGAGATATTTGGTTGTGAGTATAACTTCCCTCCAAAAATATCTAGGCACATGATCAAACTTCATAATGGCATTGGCCACCTCAATTAAATGTATGTTCTTCCTCTCAACAATCTCACTTTATTGAGGAGTATCCATAAAATAACTTATATGGATGATACCATGCTTAGAAAATAAATATCAAGAATGAGTTAAAATATTCCTTGACATTATCAATTTTAAGAATTTAAATTTTGCTTTAAAATTGAGTAAGGATAATTGGAAGAAATGATTGAAAAATGATGACAGTTTCTATTTTTTTTATTTAAGGAATGTCTTAGTAGTTCTAGTATGATCATCCATAAATGATAGAAACTATCATTGTGAATTACAACAAAAGGATGTGAGGGATTTTATTGTAGTTTAGAGTATACATGTTTATTATATTTTGTAAGTTGGCACGTTTCACATTGATAAAATAATGATTTTTTTTATTGATATACAGACGATGAAACATTTTTTCAATGTAAGTAAAAGTTGGATGACTAAGGTGATAATGCCTTCACATAACTTGACTTTTAAGTAGATTTGGTATTGGAAACTAGGCTAACGAATTTGAACTAGACTCGAAAATACAATTTGACTGATGAACTTGTTGATCGATGAGATTATTTTCTTTGAGCAAATATAGACATCATGCATCTCAGTACTGCCAATCATTTTCCTCGAATCTAAAATATGAAAATTACAAAAATTAAAATAAAATTTAGTCACACATTTTAAGTCACGAGTAAATTTATTGATTAAGAATAGATTGCAGGCTAATTTTGGAACACAGAACATTTTAGGGGTGAAGATTCTTTGTCAATTTGATTGATCCAGTTACTGCTAATTGTGAGAATGAATCATCTGTTGTTTGAATTATGAAGTGGTTGATGCATGAGTTGTAATTTATAAGACGTTGATATCTTTTGTTATATGATTTGAGTCCCCGATGTCTTAAAATATATGATTTGCCAACAACATATGAATGTTGAAATATTGAGTAATACTCAATTCCTTTTGTCGTAGATCATATAGGTTGGTCTCAAACTCAAATAACTCTGAAGGAGCCTTCAGTGTTAGAAGAAGTTTCATGTGCATCCACCCATATTTTCTTAGTTGTCTTATAGGACGGGAAATTTTTTGTGGTCATGAGATTTATTAACATGATATAACTAAATGGTCTTCAGTTTTCCCGGCTCGGTATTTAGAATCTATCATTTATTGAGTCAAAATTTTACGTGTGAGATGTCCATCTTTTCCTTTGCCACAAACATACATGAAGACGGACTATGTCCATTGAAGAAAATTCTAGTCATGTAATTTATGATTAGTGACTAGGTGGGATGTGTTGTCAGGTACATAAGGTATTGAATATGTAGGCTTTGATCTACATGTGACTTCCGAGGAAAAAGATTGTGAGGTCATGCCATGTTTGGTCATGATGAGATTTTAAAACCCGAATAGAGAAGACCCGTTGCACGAACAAAATCGAGAAGTGTTTCCTTTGTTTGATTGCTCGACTGAATGAGCAAACATGAATTAGAAAGAATTGCACAGCTCTTGGTTTCTACAAGTTCGACATAGTGTGATTCTTGGGAGAGCAGCTAGGTCAAGTGGAAACATTTGTTGTTTTAGCAAACCAAAAGGAGAAATGATTGGCAGAAGAAACAATTTGCAAAAAAATTGAATAGAGTTTTTGAACTATATGTGGATATTGGTCGCAGGAGTCAAATTCTCCTAAGACTTTTGGAACAAAGTGGATGTGTGTTTACGAGAGAGACGAATATATTGTCGTTGTGCTCAAAGCGGACAAACAAGGTCTCTATACGATGTGATCCTGTTGTTGTGATCAGATGAGATGGTTCAGATGACAGCTACGAGGGAGATAAATCAACTGATCGTTTGTATCATGCATCTGTGAGTGTCAAATGAGACGAAGCAACCAATCGTGCATACATGAGCGTTGAACGACAAGGACAAAGATTTTTGTGGATCCAGCATCGGTGACAAGGAAGTTTGATTCGGCACTCTTCGACCTCGAAGATGGAGCAAGTGTGGAATAGAGTCGCGGCCTCGGGAATGAAATAGGCTTATCATAGCTCTGATATCACGTGGAAATTATGAGAAATATCTCTATTTTTAGTTCAACAACAAATTATGTCCTACTATAGTTAGTAAGTTGCTAGCATACTAGTTCAAAAATTAAGAAATTACAAAAATAGGGAATATCTATTAAAGAAAGCTAATAAATATTAAAAGATATTTTGAGTGAAGAAAATAAAATCCTACTAATAATATTGGTCGGTTACTTCCAACAATATGTTTTTATAATTTTTTTTTCTTATATACGCAGATGGGCAAGAATCTAGAACCAGGCCATCCGCCATGAAGCCTTGTGATATTGTTTTGATGCTTTTTGGGCCATGTTTGAGAGAGATTGTTCTTGGAAACTGTCCTGACACACTTCACGGAGCTGGATGAACTAATCTAGTTGTAAGGAACGTACAGGGAAGGATTATGGCAGGCTTCAGTTGAAAAATAAATTGGGCCAACTTCAAGAGCAGATGCTTCAGACAAAAATGCTACAATTCCAGACCCTGGGATCTGGAATTGGTTGATGCAGCTTCTAAAACAAATAAAGCCACGGTTGCACCAAACAAATCATTGTCCTCTATCACAGAGGCTGTAGAAGAACTTGATTCTATCGATGAACTAGAAGAAAACACTGAACTCTATGGTTTTGCAATTGACCTTCTAAGGCCGAATGATAATAGAGAAATGTTCACGGCATTGAAACCCCACAAAAAGGTTTGGTATCTTAAGATAGAATTTGAGAAAATAGCAACACTTCGTAATGATTTTTAATTGCATGTGCTTGTATTAGCAATTGCCATAGTTTCTAAGATTATTTTTTGAAGATGATGTCTTACATTATATTATAAGCTATTCTTGTGTTCAATGTGTGTTCAACCTTAGATTGTTGTCAGAGAATGTTTAACTATATTTATATATTCGCAATGTAAAGAAAATTAAATATCATGAATGTTGTTGGCTACCTTGATTGATATAGTTATTCGTAGTTGGTATCAGGTATTTTTATCTTTTGGATATTTTCTATTGCTTCTGCAGCTGCTTCTAGTTGTTTTAAGGTTTTCTTTGATTTCTTTCTTCTCTAATTTCTTCAAATATCTGAAAATGGAGAAATGACTTGATGTTGTTGCTTGTGTTGCCTTGCACATGTAGTGGAGGGAGATGAAACTGCATCGATAGGTTTGCTGTGATTTTTATGGTCTTTCATGTCGACAACGAGCTCTTGCCTCAGGTGATGGCGAGCATCATTGTTGATATCAACATTGGATGTTATTCTTATTAGTGGCTGCAAGTTTCAATATTGATTTTAATGATGTGCATCAATATGATGGTGATGAGTGTTTATATTGCTGCTAACAATCATGCATAGAATTTTTCAATGAGCATCTATGCTATTGGAGACAACTTGCAATTGCCTTATTGGCATCAACTGTCATTCGTATTGATGTCCACGGGGTGCCCTTACTTTATTAGCATTGAAAAGGGTCGAAGTTATTGATGGTGGCGGTTGATGAACTTATTGGTAGTGACTGTTGTTGGTATTAGGATCCACATCATTTAATAGCCTTATTGATGATAAAAGGGTCGAAGTTTTATTTGTCAATGAGCATCAATTGCCTTATTAGCCTCAACTGGCTATCAACGATAGACATCAATTTTATTGATTTTGACGAACATTGACATTATCAGCAATGATGGGAAGAATTTATTGGAATTGAATAGCATCAACATTGGTGTTGTTGGATGAGGATCTTTTTAGTGTCTATGAGCATCAACAATGAGGTTAACGACAAGCAAGGACTTTATTAGCATCATCATGCATTGATGTTGGTTAGGAGGAGATGATAGGCATAAATGTTATTGGTGGTGGCAACTGGCAAGAATAATTTTTGATGTAAATGACAGCTGACATCCTTTACGTATCGTCGGGCCCTAGTATTTTTGTCGATCGTGTGTGCCAGTTTTGTTGATGATGATTGGCATGAACATTAATATCAACATGAAACGTTCATACCATTGACAATGTCAGATGTCGATGATGATTTTGATCGACAATTGAGATTGATTTTAATGATGCACGTTATATTTATTGGTGACAACATTCGAAGTTCATGCTAGCATTTGATGGATCGACATTGTAGGTCATGGTGGGTTGCATTAGTTAAATAGAGGCAATCTCAATTACATTATCAAAAGGATAACTTATTGGGCATGTTTATAATCATGAAGTGCTCCCCATACCTTCATCTGTTTCATGGGGGGTAGGTCGTTATTAAAGGGCAATCATAAATGCAAATTTTAGTGGATGTTCACATTCATGTCTCAGGCTTTGTTGTGATTGAACAAGTCTTTCCCTCTATCGCCTTTCTTACATTTGTAAGGCAACTCTTATTGCAACTAATTTTTAGGCCTTTTTGCCTATAAGAGAAACTTTAATAGAAACTAATAGAAACCTTCAAGTAAATCTCAAAATCCACTTCCCAGACATCTCAACTTTCTTTTGTTTGTTCAAGGCTACAATCATTATCTCAAAAGCATAGCAACGGTCTAAAGATAGACCAACTCATTTTTTTTTCGAGAAATATTTGGCAATTGTTGCTTCTTAAGTAAAGTGTAATGGCAAACTCGATTTAACCTATTCCACCCTATTCCACCATTGGTTAAGTCATCAAGTAAGAGTCTCACAAATAACTTTGGATAGGCCAACAATTATTGATGTATTTCTCTCATCATCTACCACGGTTAAATTTTTCAGTGGCACTGAAGACTATTAAAATAAGATAGATAAAATTTCTAAAAGAATTTTTCAAGACTTTTCTCAATGCAGATTATGTCCATGAAGCTAATAATATGGAAAGCTCATTTGAAATCACAAAATCTCTAAAGTTTGTCGCCATCATATCAAGTTGCTAATTAAATTTATTAATTAGTACACAATTTTACTCATGCATTGAAGTGATTGCTAATATATGAAGTGCTATGTTGTTGAAGTTATTGCGCTTTGTTTCTAGGTGAATGTGTGTAATTGGAGCAGGTTCCAATAAGAGCTGCTAAATGCTAATTTCTAGTATTGGACTGAGTTAGCTGTTTTTTAATGTAACTTCTTGATGAGAGACATCAATGGTCAAGCTATGATTTGTTGAAATGATCGGACTGTTGTTTGGTTTGATAAAAATGGTTACAAGCATAAATAAGCTGGTATGTACTTAAAAGTATTAAAATTGAGTCATGCAGATTCTGTGAACTTAATTAGGCTTAAATTGTCACACCCTAATTGGCTCCCCATTATAAGGTCGGCTAAGGTGCGATAAAGGCTGGCAATTTGGTTAGACTAACCCTTACCAACACTCGTCCTGACTTTTATTATAATCAGGGTCTAGTGAGTGATGAATTAATCTAACTGAATCGTCACAACATATGTGATACATTACATTTCATATACGTACTCGGAAGCATGGAAATCATATCAACCAAAACATGAAAACTGTACAAAGTTGTCAAATCTAATATAATAAAAAATACATACCCAAAACATATGTACAAAGCTCCCAAAATTATCTTGTAAAAGTTGTAAAAATACACGCTTAGCTACTGGCCCCGACGCTCGTTCCCTCTGCCTGGAAGGCAACAATAAAGAATGAGCAATGAGCTTAGAGAAATAATCAGGTCAAACATAGGATTTTATACATTAAAAAGAAACAACGTAAATGCTCGTATGAAATTATGCATGTCTACAAACAAAGCATAACATGTTAGCATAATAGAGAACATGATCATAAATAAAAGTATGTCCATAAGCATATTTATAGTATATTATCTTAGCAATGTCATTTTGTAGATGTAATATCAGAATGTCACTTGTTTATATATACGGTTCAACTATTTTCATGTTCTTTCATCATGGGTTGTTTCCCTACCTCAAATGCTATATAAACTATCAATAAAGGTTGGGTTTCCCCCAACTTAGCAGTTATAAATAGCCCCCCTGATACTCATAGTTTTCTAACGTTCTTCACTTCTTAATTTCAATGGTTCCCAGAATTTTGTCCTCGTATAAATATCAGGAGTTTGAAATATTGTCATCCTACATAATGTGCTTGCAAGCACTCGTGTAATAATCTACCCGCCTAACATTACTTGTGACATTCAAGTTATCATTATTGTATCAAACATAAGGTATTACATGTACCATAGGCGTAAAGCATAATAAATGAATACCTGTAGGTAATTAATATCATAAGTTTAATCATTTCTATCATACCATAGCTTAGCATTATATGTACCGTAAGAGAAGCAAACATACATTAATATATTCAATTGCAGGTATCTATTTACAATATGCAAAAATTCTAAATGCATTTTTGCCAAAATATAAATCATATGAAACATATAGAAGAGTATTTTTCTTAAATTAGCACAAGATTATTTCAGCTGACTTGACAAAACAACCCTAAGATGAGTGTCCACACGCTCGTCTCAAGCTCGCCTTCTCGCAAAGATGACCTGAGGCTCGTAGACAACATAGGGTTTCATAAATTGGACTCATATCATCAATTAAACCAAGGCATGCATTCATTTCTGATACATACCTCAAAAGGAGTTATCGGCATAAATTTGCTTTTCTGAAAGCACCAAATTTCTTTCTAACTCATTTAATATCTTAATCTTCACTTTCCCCTTATTGATTTTATGTTAAAACCTGTACGGTATCGTTCAAATCAATTGATACGTTTTCTACACGAGTTTGGTGAAAGCACAAAAAACGAGACAAACTTCAATTCAGAAGCGAGAGAAAGGAAATGAAAGTCTCAATTATTGTGAAAGAGGACTTCACACTTACAAAAATTGAACTGAAGTCCTATATCGCAAGTTGTGGCAACCCAATGCGCTGCTCGGTTTGTCAGTTTGCACCTTTGCAATGTAGCAAGGGTCGTGGTCTTGCTATAGGGGGTCGAAGAGAGAGTCGGGTGAGGGAAAGTGGAAGGATTCAAAGCTCGATGTTCTTTTCGACTGAATGAATGGATTAAAGGGCGTGAAGGCTGGTGGCTACAATGCACATGCATGAGATTATGGAAATTTTGGATAATAATTAAGATAAATTTATTTAATTAAACTTAAAACTTCTAAATTTTATATCTTCAAATCCTTTAACAATTCATGCATGATGTTTTATATGGAATTGATCGATTTCAGGTGTAGAAGTTAACAAAATTACTTTGAGCACATTTTGAGGGATGTGAAAGTTGAGGTACTTTTAAAATTTGTCAAATCTATTTGATTTTTCGAAATTTGGGCGTTACATAAATATTTGCATACAAATCACTCTTTGCTTGAACAACTTTGGCCCTCACCAAGGGTTTGTTTGACAACTTTTTATTGCTTTATTTATCTAAACATGGTCATAATTTTTATTTGATTATTATCTTTTAAAAATTTTCATATTGGGAGGATTTCTTTAATAATCATAATTATTAAAATGTGATAGTTCTAAGTTTATTAATGTTCTTTTTAAAAATATTTTGTTTTTTTCAATTTTTTTTTTATTTTGAACACTTCAAAAAAAAATAAATAAATAAAGATTTTTGTCAAACATTCTTATGTTAACCTTTAGGCCCTGTTTTGAATCAATTATTGTTTTTTTTTTTTGCTTTTTTTCATTTTTATTTTTAAAAAGCAAAAAATGTGTTTGTTTGTTTGTTTTTAATTTATTTTAATAA